TTTAAAATTGGATCGAATTTAATGATCCCGGAGAACACTGATTTTATTCTCCTAAAAAGAATTTAGAATCGATTAGGTCAAAGTATTTTTCCGTGACACCTTGTATCGGGCAACGCGGCTCTGCCAGAAAGCGACGGGGTCACGATTTGGGGCTCGTCGACGCTTTTGTTTATCGGGCAGCGGGTGTCCACGGATTAGCGTAAAATTGGTTTCGTTCATTATGCACGACGCTGATTAGATTCGTAGGTCGACGCGTCGATGGATCCGAGCCACGACGGGCGTGTGGGTGTTTGGCTTCGCGGTGAACTTCCCGTTTGCTGATCGCGTTTCCCTCATCGAGTTTCGACGGTTTTGCGTTTTGTAACGGGGTTTTCGAGGACAGTTTCGCACCTTCCCATTCCACTCTACGCTAACGAAAATTAGACGCTTGGTTTTACTTTCAGATTTATTTCAGGTGCAAAGCGAATTTTTCTTTTCTAAAATTCTTCATTGCGTAGACGAGAAAAGCTGCCGATTGAATCTATTATTCCCATCTGTCTCTTCTAATTTTCATTTTATCGAAAATTGGATTTTTTCGATTGATTCTCGTTTCAGAGGACACATATAAAACAGCACTTCCGACACCCTAATTACTAATCGATTCGTCGTTGTTGTCGCAAATGGGCCGAATTGGTGTCGGAGAATATTCAAGAAATGTTCGCGGCCATTGGGAAGCCATTCGGGAAAGTATTGCAAGAGGTTCGCAATAAAAGGGACGTTTTAAAAGTTTCCCGAAGGATGCTTCAAGTTCCCCGTGAAAAACATTTGTATTTCGAAGCACTTCTCGAGAATTTGTCTCGACTTCCACTTCTCGTTCGCGAAAGTTACACAATATCGGCCGCTCGAAACAGAGAGAAGAGTAAAAGACAGCGGTAGACACTGTACTATTCATGCTTTAAACGTTTTAGTTACAGCCGCGTTTCAAACGTAGCGAAAATTAAACGCAATTAAATCGGCGAACTACGAACCGAACATTCACAAGTCACGTAATATCGAAGTGAAAAATCTCTTATCGTTTGTTCGACGTAATAAGCTATGTAGAATTTTTATAAAAATAACGCTTTTAAAGCGAACCAACCACTTCATTCTTTAATCTAGATGATTTTTGGAGAATATAAATCGCGTCTAAGGTTAATTTTTTCCACCCCCAAGTGTACCATGTTACTTTCTGAAACAACCTGTATAAAGTGTAAGCAGCTTTAGAGATCTCGTAAGTCTAACAAGCGCGAAAATTCTCGCGAACGCTCGAACGGTCGTCAAACCGTCGAAATCCACCCTGACGAAGCTTCTTCGCGACTTCGGCGGGAGTTTTCTTAGCGGTGGAATTTTCCACCAGCCTCCACGAAAATAAACCAGAAACCGGGGTCAAAAAATTCCAGCGGCTATTCAGAGTCCCCTCTGCGGCTGTTAAACTTTCATTCCCGTGGAAAGCGTGGTTTTTTCGCGGCGCGACGCCAGGCGTCCCGCGTACGTGCTCGTGCCACCGAACACGTATACCACCGTGCATAAATATCAGGACACCTGGTATTACGAAAGAAAATGTGCTTGACGCAAACTCCATGGAGAACAAAATATACCAACCACTTCCAAACAGACGCTACTTATCGAGGAGGGAAACTATGATCCCTAAAAGTACTTTGAATTGCTGTGCGGTTTGCACGAACGCTTTCAAGTATGTCTCGCGAAATTTGTACCGAAAGGTACTGCGAAATATCTAAATCACAAGTCAGACTATTCCGACTCTTTCCACGCCTTCGCTCTACCCTAAAATGACTCTGAAATTTATTTTTCTTTTCTACAAATTTTAAATTTAAAACACTTCTACAGAGTGATTCTAATGATTGCCTCGCGGTGCCCTAGATTTACGTATCTTTTTTTTCTGTATCCTGATTGCTACGAACGGGGGTGTACGAGAGCGTAGGCACGCGTGCCAATCGCGCGCTAGCGAACAAACATACCGCAAGTGTGTGCACGTGCGAGAGAGGTGCAAAAGCCACGGAGAATCCTGAATTTTTTAACCGAAAGCGCACTGCGGTTTGCACAGCGTCAGCGGATCATGGGTGCGAGCGAGCCGTCTACGTGACGACCGGAAACCCTCCTACAATATTACGGTTTAATATTTAACGGGGATGCGCGCCCCATTCGGGACACCACTTTTTATCAACGCCCAATCTGCGCGAGGCTGACGCAACGCTGGCTTCTGGGACGGTCCGAGTGTTACACGACGTTCGATCTTAAAAAGAGAAGGTGAAACAATTTTTTTTTTTTTTTTTCGAATAAATTGACGCCGACTCTGAGTCATGGTATCGTGTCAATTCCTTGGAAGATGACTCGGCAAGCGGGCCAATATGTTAAACATTAATACAGGGGACTTTTGTAATCTGCATTGGTCTTATTTCTTTATTGCAACAATTTTTCGCGTTATAGTCACCAGAAGTATAAGAATAGTTCAATGGGAAACCTCGAACCAACGTAAAACAGAAAAAAAAAGAAATTAAAGAGCAGACAGAAGAGCGACAAAGAAAAAAAAAATTTGTGCACTCGGTAATAAAACCGCTGATGTGGTAGCTCCATACAATTAACCATAACTTTCGCGCAAATGAAAGTTTCACGATACAATTTAGCAAACGTGCAGTTAAATTTGTGCACGCTCGAATAATACCCGAGTCACCGATAAGTACATATTTAAACAAATTTCCCCGGAAGCTTCGTGTCTCGAAATGATAAACAAAAAAAAAAGAAAAAAAAAAAAAAGCGCGGTATAGCGAATAATCACTCGGCATAAGAATAAAGTACGGGATTCGCCGGGCTGGTGTTTGCCGAGTTTACCGGGTGCGTGTTGGCTCTCTAAAAAGCGAACAAACAAAATATGGCATGCATAAAGAAGTAGATGGATAAACCGCGGCTGAAAATATCCATATCATAGATACGGGGTGCGGTGGCGGTGTGTGGGGGGACGGTGAAAAAAGTTGAATTTGCGTTGGACTTATTATCTTAACAAGTACGCGTGTGAGGGGATGGGGGGGATAAAACGAAAAAACGAAATAAATAAACACAAAAAGAGCGGGGCAAATATGGCAGTTTCGTATGCAAAGCGGCGCAGTTTTCAGGAGACGAATTCGCGATATTTGCATCTGGCGCATTGCCGTAAAAAAAACTGGAGCGAATCGGAGAAATTATACGCGCGAAATTGCGAAAATAATTGACCGGTACGGGATCCCGAAGATAAGAGAACACGGGAGAAGAACAGGGAATTAACGTTAAGAGTAGTGTTTGGGACTTGGGTCTTCCCGCTCAGATGGGAGAAGGGTTTAAAGGTCGGAGAAAAGTGGAAGGATGCTTTGAGGTGGTACTCTAATTTTTTTTTTTTTTTTTTTTTTTTTACCGGTTTCGTGGCAATTCTCACGATTCTTTTTGCTCTCAGGGACTGTAGCTACGCTTGATTGCAGCTGCAGTACGGGTTTAGGCTCTAGGTGAGCCTAACTGCAGATGCAAAGTAATGCAAGGCAAGAATTAAACGAATGTGAAGAACGAATAAATGTGAGCCTGGTACATCAGGTGTTGCAGTAGAGTTGTACGACTTCGCGCTCTCATAAGTAAAGCTCTATAATTTAAGTGGGAAAGGGGTTTAAAGCGTTCAGCGAATGCTCCAACTGCGTCGCAGCAGTAACGGATTATGGGCGACTCTTATTAACGACCTTCGCGTGACGGGATCGTGATTATTCTCCATCGTAAAGTCTACGTGTCAGACGACCGATGCTGATTGAATCGCGTGCGCGTGCCATGTTTGCTAATTAGTGCGCCTCGAGGAAGAACTAAAAGGAAAGGATGCGAGCAAGGAAATTAATTTTCCTGGCTCGAAGGGATATTTTCTCGTGGCTTGTTTGTTGACAATCGCGCGATTGTTCTTTTTTACGGAGAGGTGCGAGATTCGATGATGGCAATTGTCTTGGGTTCTTTGTTCAACGACACCTTCGTTCCTTTGATGATTCTTTGACGATTCCATCCTCGGCGTTTTTCAAGCTTTTCAGAAAGTTTCGTCGGTTGTAGTTTTACCATCTAGCTTTAACGGAGACTAGGATGACGGAATGATATCGATGCGGTTGTCTATTTAAGGCATCCATGCTCGTGTCACGGATCGTTGGTCAACAACCACAGATTCCTATCGGCTAGCTGTGATCGATGAAAAAGTTTAGCGGGGTGTGTTTCCAGATTATAGCTCATGCAAAGAGGAATTCAATGGCCTAGTTTCGTGGACATTTCACCGCCTCCGTTTGACCCTAGGAACGCTAGCGAGTTACACATCCAAACACTGCGAGATGGATGCGTAACGATAAACTAGCAGATGGAATTCATACTACTTTTTGGAAAGGAATCATTCATTCGCGAAATTTCTAAACTACTCCTACAAAATCATTTTCTTATACTCTTCACTGTGAAATTAGTATTAATTTGTAGTTAATATTAGGTTGTCCAGAAAGTTCGTGCCAATTTTTCAGAAAACTTCAAACGCACGTTTGAATTCTGATATACATTTATTTATATGTATATTTATTGAATTACATAGGTACCATTTTGTTCCACAACCTTTCACCTTTTAAGGATATGTACATATATATATATTATTTGTTTTCAGCCATTTCGACATATTCAGATCTGCACCACCTATAAAAAATCGGCATGGACTTTCCGGACAACTAAATATTTACAGACTCATGAAGAGATCAGAGAACCAGCTCCAACACTCCTGGTGTTAAAGGACACCCCAAGGTGATCTCAAGGTCAATCAATTCAACCTACAGACTCCTGAATAGGACCCAGAAACAACACCAGGGTCCTCGACACTCAACAAAGTTCTACACTCAACAAAGACTCGAGGTCACCCCTTGAGGTTCACCCCAAGGTCAGTGAATTCGTTTTAGCATCAGCAACGCAACCGAAACATTGCACCGAGAACAGTCGAGCCACGACTTCCATTTCACTCCCAGGAACATTGTCAGACCGCCGTTAAAATTCGCTACTTCCTGGAAGCTTTTAAATTTACGTTCAATGCCCCCCGGGAGACCGTTAGCCTTTTCTTTTTTTCTTGCCCGGTAATTTTTTGCTGCGCGACGAAACACGCCCACCCCCGCGGCAATATCAGCATTAAGGCTCGTTTGCACGAGACTTCCTGCAACGTCACACCGTGGTCACGACATTAAATGCATGTACACGGGGTAAATTAGAGGTCTCCGTAGGCGCCCCGTACCTCCTCGCGGTATTCACCGCTGAAAGTTTGGCCTTTTCGCGACGTTAAGCGGCGCGAATATTCCTCGAGATAATTTTTAAATTGTGGCAAATATTCAGCGAATGGCGCCAGCGTTTCTCGCGCACGAGAAGGGCTAACATCGAAGCATTGAAAACAGAGTTAAAAACGGGGGGACGTTAGAAGCGGACGTTGTATTAAAAAATAAACAGGAGGACGATGTTTTTTGCCGGCTAAATTAAATTTTATTCTTATAATGAAAAAATCCAATGGTAATTCCACTCGATGCGAATACCATTACAGGCTCGAAAATTGAACGCGAATCAACCCATTTATAAATCGGAAATTCGAATAAAAACGCAACAGCGTTATGGGTATGAAAATTGAATAGAAGCAGCCAGAGCAAGGGATATGGAAAATTGATTAATACTTTCGGAAACGTGAGAGCGTAAAAATGTGGCGGCGGTGAAAAGTATGGAATCGAACCGGGAACCGACGTAATGGCAGGTTCGAAAATTTAACGAAAAATAGCGGGAAGGCGAAATGCTTTTTCAAAGGTCCAAAGTGGTCGACGCGTTTGAAATGTTTGGTTGTATCGACTGGAATTGTCTTACCTGGCTCGATGAAGTATGTCGTACGTGTTGAGGCACTGGGTGTCGATAGGCTTGTCCTCGAGCTCGCTCTGAGGAATGCTAGTGGCGCTTTTGATCATCAGAAAGTTTTGAAGATAGCTAAGGAAGTAGACAGGCAAGGCTGCTCCCTGCTCAGGAACCAAAGCCAATCGTTTCGCCACTTCTTCCACCTGGAAGCATCATGGAAGAATTTTATTTTAGAGGTTTCAGAACCTAGAATATATTTCTCGCGTTATCTTCAGTGGAAACGAAATAATTGGCAACATTTCTGAAAACTGGACGAGATTGGCCAACGTGATGTTACCTTGAGGAACCTCGCGCGAAGAACGTCCTCGGGGAAAACTCCTCTCTTAGCAGCCTCCTCAGGAATGCCTCGAATGGCTGCAAGCACCAGAGGATCTTCCTTGGCTGCAAGAAGAAATATAAAAAACGAATTAGTGAAATTTCCATGTTAAACATCTCTGTAGCAACGGAATATAATCGACGTGATGTTAAAATGTTCAACAGTATACAAAAACAAAAAAAGTATGCCGAAAGTTCCCTTGCCAATCATTCCTCGCAGGGCTTGACAGTTAATTTTTGTAAATATGTTCTAGCCTGTGATTAATATAAATTAACGCGCGGAGAATAAAGAGCGGCGTTCAAATTTTAACGAACCGATATTTCGGGACGGAAAATTGATTAACATGGAACAATAACGGCGCCTCGCCCCTCCCCTCGAACAAATTGCATTACACCAGATGCTGTTACGTCGGTGGAATACATTACTTTGCCATTTTGCGAGTAAACGTGTAGCTGCAAAACGTGATAAATGATCGCAGGTATTTTAAATACTTTTCAGGGGGTTGTCGTCAATGGAATTTACACATTTGCACAGCTGACGTGTACGTACCGCGATTAGGGATTGCGGGCTGCTCTGTGCGAATGAAATCCTATGCGTGGATGCGGTGCAAATTTTATTTCGGGTGTAGACATCTTTGGACTGATTTTATTCAACTATTCTTAGTGTATTTATAGAATTAACGAAGGAAAAAAGATTATTTTCTGAAGCGCACCGACGTAGTACATGATTATTTAGAAATTGAATTGTTGTTCTCTACGTCGAGTTCAACTCACGACTAATCTTTCTTTCTACCTATAAGAATAGCTAGTTTGTCAAAGGCAAGCGGAATGCGCCTATGCCAGGTCAGACAATGGCAAGTAGATTGTACCCGTATGCAACCAGGCAGGGTAGATGGAATGTAATCTGCGTTATGGTCAGACTTCGTAACTTTACCTAGCTGATATATATCGCTCGATTACGCTTTTTTTTTCATAAACAAAATAATTCGTTCGTTAGAAAAGTGAACAACCATCGGATTCCAGCTAGAATTATTCTCAAAGGGCGATAGTTATCATCACGTTAACCTTCCGTAGCCTTTCGGCGAGAGTTTAACTCGAAAAATATCGCGAGGATCCACCTTCCGAGTTTCCGTTGGCACGTAGAATCGCTTTTTCCCGGATCGCGGCGCTCGCTGCGGGACAATCTGCATTTATCGCGTTGTTGAGGAGGCTCCCATAGTGGTTCGGGGTGAAAAATGACTAACAACGTCGAGAATCGTTTTAATTCCGCGCGGAAAGAGGGACACAGACGCGGAAAGGGGTTGGTTCCGGGAGGGCCGGAGGGATGGAAACCCGTCCCAAGATTTACGACTTAATCGCTGGACGAGCTAGCATAAAGGCTTCGCCAGGCATTTCGAGGACTGCACTCCCCTGTCAGGTGCATTAATTATGCAGCTGCACGCCGAGTTAATAGCGAAAAGTGTCCGTAAATTACTCGTCGAACGCTCGCCTTTTTATTTTCCTCTTTCTCTCTCGCATCCGCGTGTTTCCTCTCTTTTTTTTTGGAACATTTTTTTTTTCCGTTGCACCCTTTCGAGAGTTCAAACGCCCGCAATATTTGTCGCTCGAGCGCTCGCTGGAAATATTTTACGGAGCACCCTCGACGCACTCGAACCACGGGGCGAGATTTTGCCCGTTCGATGGGAAGGCGCAACGGGTATTTGCGCGAATCGTTTTGTTTTGAAAATATCGAAATGTATACTAGACGCAGAATCAACTGTGAAACTTGATTGAGTGATAATGAATATTACATCGATTTGCTAGGACAAATTGAATCCTGAAATTTACACTCGTCATTTGTATTTTTATTTACTTCTACTGCTGCATTCTGAAATTCCGTGACTAACTGGCGAACTTGAATTCTGTAATTAATATTTATTATTTATATTTATCGTACAACAGAGCATGTTTCGTCAATATTTTCCAGGACGTCGCAGGATCTTTATTTCGTTCTTCGTGGAAACCCTTAATAAAAACAATCGAGGTTCGTCGGCGGATGAATTATGAAGAGAATATTCGGGCTTATTGGAAATTACCGAGAAATTGTAGCCGATAATTGCGAACAAATTGCCAGGCCGACTTCTCGGAAATCGCGTCGGATTAAAAGATCCAGAAGAGTTACTGTGGCCATTTCCGCTGGAATTATTCATCGTTATTAGATCCAACTGTTCGGAAATAAATTGGCCGCGCGATTAAAGGAGATTAAGATCGAGTCGGTCCAAGTTAAACAGACCTCGAGGATATTATTGTTTCTCTTAGGGAATGCAAGACGAGTGGAATGGCAAACACTGCGAAACTCGACGAGCCTCCGCTCGTTTCCGACCGCGGTTTATTTATCTCGCGGCAATATTTCGCCCCCGGTACCGAATTACCAGATATTAAAATTCCCGTATCGTCGCCATCCAGAATTTACGCGAATTGAAATCGTCATAAATCCGACAATGACTCGGGCGCATCTCTGACCTCACCACGAATCGCCGTTATCGTTCGTCTCGATGAAAAATCGGGAAAATTTCAACCCTTCGTTTTCACAGAATTATTTTTTATGGGTGAATTAACTAATTTTGCACCCTAGGAGTGACTGTGGTAGACAGGTAAAAATTCTCTTGTATTTTAGAAGGTTGCTGCCTCGCAATAGAGACTCCGGTATTGTTCGACAATAATTACCTTATATTTTCCATTCGAACGTGAGGAATTACATAGCAATCTGAGACAAACAGATTTTCTATCTAGAATCGCGATGCCTAGCTAAGGTCAACGTCAAGTAGAATATACCAACACCTGGTCAAACGGCGGCAAGTAGATTATGTCAACTAGGGAACGTCGAACGCTAAATCTTGAAACGTACGTATAAGAAATTTTTATGAGGATACGAACTAACACGCCTCGTCCGTCTCTAGAATGGCGTATTTCATTTTACGGTCAAGCACTATCGTTTCGCGCGGTAAGAAGATTTATGCGGTTTTTATCATCGAAAGAAAAACGCGTAAATCTAGGGTACGCGTGTCCCGTACGGTGGCGCAAACGCGATGAATATTCGGGGATAGTAATGTCGCCATTACGCCGCGAAAACTCATTAACTGGTGGCCCCTGGTCGGAATGAATTAAACAGTTCTCGGGCACCCAGGAAGCGGAAAAACGATTCCGACGTTAACTCGCTGATTGCCCAGCGCGTCCTGCGGCCCCGAGGGGGGAACCGAAATAGATCAATCGTCTGTTTTTTTGGCGTTTAGAGCCTCCGAGTTCCGGGGTTTACAAATGTTTCCACCGCCGCCGCTGCGACAAAATCGAATCCTCGCTCAAGGTCCCTTTGGCGCAAATGTTACGCACGGTCCGGGAGCACTGTGCGTGGTTTCGAACCAATTCTTTGAAAAAATATTTTCGCTCCACCGTGACGGCGGAAAATTTAGAATTGTTCGAATTGTTATTCGATGATGGAAATATGAGACATATGAATGTATGTATACATACGGAGTGAAACGAATGGAACGAAATGTAAATCGTATATTTTTCGGAGTGCGTATTTTTAGAGCTGAACGTCTCTTCGGGAATATTTATTACTAATGCGTGTTTCGAGCAACTATGTTTTTATATCTCTTCGGTAGTAAAATATTTAATCAGATAGCAAAAAGGAGTCGATTGCAATACAAAGCTGTTAATTTTTGAAGAGTGCGTTGAGAGTGAAAAATTAATACATTTATTTCTTATTATTATTCCTATCAGAAAGGCAAGCTTTTTTTTGGGGTGGGGAGGGGGAACAAAAGAAAACTGGCCTGAAAGATCCAAAGGACGGTTCACAGCATTATTCCTGTTCATTCGCTAAACATTCATACAATTCATCGCGCACCTATAGCGCTCGTGCATTCGAAGCTTTTGTGTCCAATGAACCATCGAGCATTTTAGCATTCTAGCCGGGCGGAAGTCCGATACCGATACTTCCGCGTTTGCGAGTTTAATCCTTCCAAAGATTGGCATTGTATCGCGACAGAACGGAGGGGGACGGGAGCGAGATTATAGAGGGGTCGCCACAAATTCGATACTTCCCCTCTCTGGTGTGACTCGTAAACGTGACAATATTAATATCAGTTAATAATAATCCGCGGTCATGTTACCGAACGGATCAGAAAATTCGTTCTATTAATTGCACCGCAACACGTTTTACGCGTGAATGGTAACGATGCAACTGAATCTAATTAGACACTCCGTTAAACCCATAGAAGGGCATATTAAATCGGATCAAGGATTTGTAAATGTAGATTACAGATTATTATAAATGTAGATCTCTGAATTTGATTCACACGTCGTCGATTAAACGGGTTAAATGAATTCCGGTAACGATCAAGTAATTTATCGCGCTTGTTGAAATGTATTTCAAGCCGTCTGAGGATGTCTGAACGCGTTAAGCAAAAAGAGAGAACTGTAACAGGGAAAACGTTGAAATTTAACGAGGAATTACAGCGACCGGCTCCAAAGCGAATCGAGATATTTTAATACAAAACGAAGAAAAAATGAATTACTCACGTGCTGCCTTGGTGACTGCCTTGATTTCCGGTTCCAGGGGCCTTATGGCCTTATTCAAGCTCGCGCCAGGAGACGCAGACTTGACAGCTCGAGCTAGAGCTTGGCAGGCTGACCACAGAATCTGGGCATTCGATGCTCCCCTTTCTTCCTCCGTACGAGCTGCAACAACGAAAAGAAGAGCTATTAACGGAGGGGAATATCGAGTCAAAATTTATATTGAACTTTCGATGGAACGGAACTAAAAAAAATATACAATGTTTTCCAGCAGTCTCGCGAACGAAATCGAGTCTCACAGCGATCGGGGATACCAAGATCGATGATTTTCCGTTTCTCTCGAGATTTCGGACCTTCGCTCTGAATGGCGCGGGAGAACCTTCGACAGCGAAGGGGGAGCTGACGCTTTGGAAAGGTGTTGTAGGCCACGCGGAACGCGACAAGGGGCGCCAAGGGGGTGGCACTTTGCGAACGAGGTTACTTCGCGAAAGTTATCCGGATTGACGTGTATAATAAATCACCAGGGCGAGAGCACTTGATCCAGATAGATCTCGTTTTTCTCGCGAGCGACATTAACGACAGGCTTGACCGGGGAACACCTTGCGGGGTTAGTCGATTCACAGTTCATCAATTACAAATTGCACCGGGGCGAAACGTGTTTGCCAGGCGTCTAATTAAACTTCGATTACCGTCGACGAGTCGCGGTCACTCCCCGTGACCGGAAGTAGGAGAATGCTCCGAGCTTTGGGACAATAAAATGTTGCTCGTTCGCCTCTACCATCTCGGGAAATGGATCATTGAAAAGAATCTTGCTTCGGGAAATTTGTCTGTACAGTCCCCGATGCTACAAATTTTAACCAGAAAGAAACTTGCTGTTTCAAAAATGTTACCCGATTCAAACGGCGTCCTTCCTCGTTAATTGAATGACCACGTTGAGTAAATTAATCGAGATATACGCGTTTCGTTGGACGGATAAAATTAATGATCCGAAATACGGTGGGCGGCAAGTTTCGTAAGTAGAAATTTTGTTTATTAATTACTTCGGTAATTAGCAATCGCGTTGGCGATGAAACTGCACGCTGGGACGTTAATCAAACCGGCATGTCGTTGATCGATCAATCGAAATTCTCGCGCATACTTTACACGGTGTTTGTGGAACTCTGAGTCCGCCAAAGAAATTCGAGCTTTTCTTGTGCTTCTCCTAAGGATGATTATTCCCCTTAATGATTGTCGTGAAGACAATTCACATTAATAATACCCTCGATTTTAGGCTTTCCCTTCATTGAATCGTTTTTAATATTTAGAAGAAAAGTGGCAACGAATTCTACAGTCAAAAATAATTTATAGCCGAATGTAATGCAATTGTTCCTTTCACGAAAAAAAAAAAAAAAATGTTATAAAGCAACGAACTCCGACACTCTATAATTCTAAAAAGAGCACACTAAAGCCCAAGGTCACAAAAATTTAATGTCAGATCCTTCTTTCTTCGGGCCACTTCCAACGATGCAATCGATTATAAGGAAACAGGAAAAAGCTACCGGAATCAATCGTGCAGGACGGCCGATAACGAAATGATGTTCCTCGTCGAGGTGGCTATACTTCGCTCGGTGAAATAACCGCAAAACGAACCGAAACTCGAGAAATGCGTGGACGGAAATCGGAGTCAGAGAGAGAGAGAGAGAGAGAGAGAGAGAGAAAGGGGGAGAGGGTTCATTTCTTGGGAGCATTTGTCAAACCAGCATCGGGAGCTATCGACATGCTATCGCTATTGTATCGTGAAACGAACGGTACCACGGATTTCGAGCCAAGGTTCGCGAACTTGCCGTTACCCTCTTATTTATTTCGCTTCGATTCTTGCCTACTGTTCGCTTGATTTACGGGGGTGAGCCCTTAGAAGAACATTCTCTTATTTTTCTCTCCGAGCACCGCTGTCGGAACCACGAGTTCTCCAGTTGAGGCGTGCGTCGTTTCATCCTACCCTCCCTCGAGATGCTTATGGCACAGCATTATTATCATTGCAGTTTTCTTCGCGACGATAACGGATCGACTGCAGCGGTGCTTGATAAGAAGATTCACCTGTACTTGACGCCGTAGGCTTTGCGGATCGTTTTGCACGATGCAAATTTCATTGGGCAAAAAGGAGAGTCCTTATCTCGGTTCCCTATCGATCGTACGGAAAATTCGTAGGGAACAAAGAAGTCTCCAAATTTCGTTTGCGATAGATTTTGTCGTACGAGTTTAGACGGTAGAAGGAACGGTGTGCGAGACAAGTCGATCTCAATTCTTGGGAAGGACTACGTATGTCTGGCCATTGCTGACTGTTTCTACTTGCGTTAGCGTTTCTACCACTGATACTGTTATAATACTGTCTCCCCTCTGCGGTACTATTCGAATTACAGCAAGATAAAGCAGACAATGCCATATTCCTATCGCAAAACACCACAGTAGAAACGGTGAGTAATAGTCAGACAAATCAGCCAAGCTCTATCCCACAAAAACTCTTTGCGGTCAATTTCCTTGCAAACGAAGCCTCGTATAGGAAAATGTATTCCACAATTTCCCTTCTTTTTTTTTTTCACGGGAACTCACCCAATCCTTGCTCGATCATCGAATTTTTCCGAATATATGGGGAAGAATAGATGAAAAAAGGGCGTCGATGTATAATGTTATTTACACGAGAAATAAAGGTTTCCCGCGAACCTCCGGCGTTATCAGAGGCTTCGGGACACGCTATCGTCCGAGGAGGGGGGACTTTCTATCATTTTCAATCGGGTGGGGGATGAACGTCGACGTTAAACGAGGTCGGTTAAAACGCGCGAAACGCTCCACGCCGTTGTTCCAACGCGACAGCGAATCCCCTGGGGTGTTCACGGATGATCGAAAAACTGCACGGAGGGTGGGAGGTGAATTAAATTAGACGGCTGAATTTCACAGATCGCTACGCGTCGCTACCTTCCTCGAATCGCGGAAATTGTTATTGAAAATGATACGCCGCGTTTTCGAACGCCCCTTCTATTCGTTGCTCGAACGTTTCACCTCATTGAGCAGTTTTGATCATCGAATCGCGGTTATATCGACGTACACAGGGCCACGAAAGTATCTATCGGAAAAATTTACTTGTTTTTAGAGAGAATGATCTCACTCTTTTGTCGAGTACGCCAAATAACAAAGAATGAAATACTTTTGGGCGCCATTATACATTTTAAACTCGTTTCGAATATCGAAGCACGCGAGCGCCTTCTAAAATATGGAAATAAAATATTCATAATTAAATATCCCAGCGGTACCCGCGCGGAGATATCGTGATGAAAATGATAAATACCGCGTGGTATCGGTTCGAATCTCCGTCCATTCGAACCAAAACAATTCACCCCCCTCCTTCTCTGAACGGATTAACCGTACGGAATAATATTTTCGGCGTATCTAAAATCAGTTTAGTTTACCCCCGTATCCGGGAACGCTTCAAACCGTAGCGACACTTCATCGTTATTAGTTTGATAAACAGGTTCGTTATTTGTGGATACACACAATGTCGGCCGAAATATCCTTTTTATCGAGTCGGACGGCCATTATGCGCACGCCCCGCGCTATAAAATTCATGGCAAACTGCGCGTGCATAGAACCGTGCTGGAACATATCTCTCCGGCGGAATACAATGTAGAAGAACAAGCGTCCGGATAATAGAACGTCTGGATAATGGAGTGCGCGGATAATAGGGATTCTATCGTAACTCGATTCGGTCAATAAATTCCGGAATAAGGTACACAAATATTTGAAAATCCTTAGTCGCGGTGGTCGGATTACGAGTGCACCACGGATATTCGAATATTTCATCCGATTCTTAGGGGTTGGCTAAGGACTGGCAGAGATTTTTAAATACCGGGGGAAATAGATAATAAAGCTGAACATTAAATTGTATCATGCTTCTCTGTGCGCTATGCATGTACGATTCTGCGACTTGCTATTGTATTAATCTTTAGTATCGAACGTTTTAGGGATGAATAGGCCAAGCTTGAAACGTTTCCTCGAATGTACTATCGGAATCCTGACAGTATGAAGATATTTCCATTGGTTTCAACACGTTTCGATAAACTGATCGACGCATCGACTGGTATCGACGTAGACTGATTTTTACGTAATGCCCCTGTCCCGCATTCGGGGGTGCGTCTACATCCTGATTGGAGCGCGTACGTCAACGTGACATAGCCGCTTAACAATAAAAGCCACTGCCGTTGCAGGGGATACTGCTCATTGTTTATGAGGCTGGCACGCAGCAAAACCGAGGTTAAATCAGTGAAGGATTAGGATCGACGAGCTGCGGCCTGTCCGTGTCACGTTTCACGCTTCGGGGGCTCAACAGATTTCGACAGCCGCCGATGTATCCTCTTTGTTATTTTTAATCTCTTTCTTTCTGCTACTTCCATCCCCTGTTTTCGTTTCTATCGCGGCTCGCACGAATAGATCGAAATAATTGATCGAAATAATTGAACGCATCGAAGATAACAGGAACGAACGTGAGTTAGAGTAAACTTCTTGACTAGAGGGTCGTAATCTATTTTTCAATCGGGGGTTGAAGTCGTTTATTCGACCCCCTAATGATTTCGAACAGCGCAATCCGTCTTCGTTCTTAGCCTACTTACACGGAGAACGTCTGGTGTATTTAACTCCTCTCTCTTCGTCCACCTATCGCTGGTTTATCCCCCATTCTCTTCCCTCTGCTTCTTCCTACCCCTTCCACTGTTCTTTTCTCCGTATTATCTCTCCCTTTCACGTCCACTGCCTTTATCCCTCCGATGCTTCGCGCCTTTGTCCCGTATTACCTCTCTCTTTCACGTCGTTTTCCCCTATTAACCTCCTCTTTCACGGCTTTTCTCATTAACCAACCCTCTTTTCACGTCTTTTCTCTGTAATTACCTCTCTGTTTCGCGTCTCCTCCCTCTATCATGGTTACTCCCCGTCACGGACGCTGCGGCCCAAGACGCACCGCAGTTTGTGCTTGCACAAGAACATGAAATCAATGGAGGGAGGACGACGAGTGTAAACGAGCAATTATCGCCAACACTAACACCTCGACTTTCGCATTACGAACCCCCTGTCGTGCATTAAACGGATCCCTATTATCCAGGTTTCTCTTTTGGCGATTCTCTCTGGTTTCTACTCGTACT